GCCGCGCTGCCGCCGGTCGGTACGAGCGAAAATTATTAATTCTCCGATAGAATTTGAATATACCCCATTTGCATTAGTCAACGGCGGAGTTACGGCGCGGCATTCAGTGCAATTGTCGTGACATTTTCAATTATTCCAGTGCCGGCCGGCGTAGGGATAGTCCGAGGCGAACTTTGTCCATATCGTGCCGCGCCAGTTACGGCCACCCTCTTGCTTGACGGATTATGCGGATTACATGCGTCCCGCGCGAACTTCGACGGTAGCACTTGATATCGTCGCGACGATAACATGGAAAGCATATTCTTAGTGTGTTTATCACAACGCTCTGTCTCGCGCGTGCGAACAGAATTAAATTCCGTAATCTTTGGTAAACATAAATAACCGACATATATACATATATTGATATAAAAATTAATTTGAAGACGATCAACGTTTAATGAAAACTTGCATCTTTACCTGCTTCCATCTCCCTCTCGTAAATTATGTCTCTTTGTATGCTCGGAAATCGCGAGCTTGGTGTAACGAATGGGCTAAGCTTCCGTAATGAAAACGCTCGATGTTTATACGCGTAACTTATCGCGCTGCTATTTTATGAGAATTACGCGCGTGTCTCGCGATATTTAATTACAAACAACGTATGGAACTTCGATATACACGCGGATGTACATATCATCGATAAATCCAAATTTATGTGAGCGCAACATGCTCAATCTTCCGTTGAATTTTTAATAAAAGAAAAGTCGATTGCAAATCTGTCAAAAGATCAGAATATTAAAATATATTTTACGTAGCGTTGGAGACACAATTTGTATCTTTTTTCATAACTTTTATTGACATCTCATTTTTATCATTTTCTTCATTAATAAACAATAACTAAATGATGAGAATATATATAGGGGTTTAATTTTGTATCTGTGCAATGCAATATTAAATTAAAAATATAGATTTCATGGTCGGATAACAACGCCTGATTCCAGTGAAACTGAATCGAGCGACGAGACAACATATTTTTTTCTAGCCGATATAGTGCCGATGTAGTTCTGATATTTGATTTCGATTCAGCTTATTGCATTTCAATACGTATACGTACATCCGCATAGGAATCGATGGCGGCAACCGGCACGCGGTGCCGTGAATACGCTGATAACGTCGCGAGCAATGACGAACGCCCGCCGCGAGACTCACGGCAGGATCCGCCTCGCCGGGAGGACGAGGATCCTGAAGGCGACTGTCGGCGCGATATTGAAAATGGAAGCTGGCACTCTCTCCCGGGTGTCATCAGCGCCGTCGACCGCCCGATGAAGATGGAGCGGATCGAAGCGGTATCGCCGCTCCCTTCCCATGCGATCCGCGAAAAATTCGCCGAAGCCGAAAGCTGGTATAAAAGATTTTTGCCAACTCAAGGAGCTCGTAAATCTCTCCGCGTAACACGTGGCGAGGATCGATCGCCTCTGTGATCTTATATGAATAAGAAAAGAAAAGATCGGATCGACCGCGGATCGCGACATTCATCTGAAAAAGAAAGGATTCTTTTAAATATTTATCTTTGTATGAATGAGTGAATGAAGAAAAAAAGGATTGATGTATCATTTTACATCAAGTGAAGATTGTAGTACAGTCGAAATGACAAGTTATTTGTAAAAGTAGTTTTTATCATCAAGTTTTCGAACGTTCATATACGAAAAGTACGATTTATCTAATTTCTTTGTTTGGCGAATTTATGATGGAATAAACTGCAGTCTCTCAGTTAAAATGCAAATTTCGCTCCTGACATATATCGGAAATCTATGAAAAGTGCCAAAGAATAATGCGACTGTGGCACATTGGAATAAGAATAGCCGATGTCACCGCGCGATTTAAAAACGAAACGAAATATTGATTAATACATTCAATTTTCACCATGAAGTCATAAAATAAATTAATCTTTTTCATTTTGACTTGAATTTTTATGGATTTAATGTAAAAATGTGGATAATGTAATATAAAATGTAATGTAAAAATTTTAGTTTTTTTTTTTTTGTAAGGCAGATTGAACATATCGAGAGCGCAGGTATTGCGAGATTAAGCGAGGGATGGGGAATGCACGTCGCGATCGTAAAGTAACATTTTCAGATATGTATGGGAAAAAAAGGGATAGGAACACACGTACTACGGTTACGCGGATCGCGACATTAGGCGAGTGCATTAACGTTCGCATTTGTAATTATTACGTTAATCGCGATTACTATCGCGCGACGCTGCTTCGCATTTTTGCAATGGTATTCGCGTGCTCGGCGCGATACGCCGTTAATTAGCGTTTCCGCTTAAGCAACAAAAAAATACAGATAACAAAATAAATCGAGAAAAATTGCGAACGTAATGACGCGGCGCCGCACGCGAGAGAATTCCGCATCGATGCGCGCGTAGAGAAACTTCGGTCGTGCTATTTTCCCGCGTTGTAATAAAAAAAAGAAAAATATATATATTTTTTTCTCTCTCGCCGCGACTCTCGGAGCTTACAGACAGGGAGCTGAAACGCGCCCCACAAAAATCCCATAAATTCCCTCGATTCAAAGAAATACCGTAATACTATTTCGTACGATCTCGCTCTCAACCCTCAGGGAGAGAGACAGAGAGAGAAGGCGTTGAACAAAGTATATCGGAAGTGAAATAAAGAAAGCGGCGGAGCAATAATAAGACCGGCGCGGTTAAAAATAAGAAGTACCGCCGAAATTAATTACGCCCTCGTCTCTAATCCCTTCGAGCGGCCTCTCTCTTTTAATTCTCGGCGGACAATAGAGTCGGCGCTTTAATACCCACAGAGTTTCTTACCCGTATACACTATTATATAATCAACTTAGAAAAGCTCAAAGAAACGTCGCGATTTCTTTCTGCGATTCTATCGCTTTAGAAATTTGCAGCAGTGTCTCGTGCAACAACAGCAGACGTACCGGAGAAGGACAAGAAAGGATTGTTCAAGCAATTAAGAAAATAACATAAGAGTGAAAATAATCTAGTATGAATACCAAAATCTAGAAGTTAGTAAAAAATATAATATAAAATATAATTAATTCAATGACTTCTTCTAGGAAAAGAAGTAATAAATATGACGAGCTATATACGCTTAAGGGCTAACCGTCGGCTAACGAATCCTCCTTAACGCTTTCCATCGGCATTTCCGAAAAGCCCGAGGCTCGATTACTTATTGCGGCTGCGGCTGCATCCCGCTGTAGAGTGAGGCGGAGACGTGAAGGGGGAGGAGAGGAGGAGGAGGAGGAGAAGGAGGAGGTTTGGACGCGGCGTGCCCGAGTAAATCACGGTGGATTTAAGTGGATCCTACAAACTCCCTCGCGCCGGGGCCACCCCCGACGATGTATCGTCCTGGGTAGGGTCGTTGCGGCGCCGCCGCCACCGCAGCGCGGATATAACCGAGTAAGAGATTCAGAGGCGAGCGAGAACGGCCGGCGAGGTAACATCCGTTGCGTCTTACGGCCGCGGCTTACAACGGAACTTCGTCGACTCGGGGAAAGCTCATGGACAGAGTGGCGGATTATTCGCCAAAGGCCTAGGGCCTGACACATAAAAGGGCCTCAGGACGGATTACATGGAGTTTATAACATGTGGGATCCACCATTAGATGGAGGGCGACACGTGAGCAAACGAAAAAAAAGAATTAAATCTGACATTGCAGAGAATTATGTAACAGTGAATTCCAGTGTATAGACATCGACATCATCGTGTGTTACCTACATCTTGATTGAAAACATTGATAGTTGAAAATATAATAATATACATATAATAAACATTTTTAAAACGTCATGTTAATTTGTCTTACGTAATTATTGAATTGTTACAAAAAATTATGGTTTTACTTGGACGAGAGAGGAAAGAAACCAACGAAAAGCATTGTAAACTCTTTACTTTCGCCTAAGGAAATGTCTGAGATGTCTATTATAAATGACAGAAATGTCGATGGTTCAAGTAAACATCCTATAAAATATCGCACACGACTCTTTTATATCGGCCAACCATAACTATCTCCATATTTACATCATATTCCGCAGCAAATATTCGAACGTTATTCCCGTTTCGACGTAACGGTTCAGTACACCCGCTGTCGTCAGAACAAACAATATCGCGGAGGAAAGTTGTTGTACGACATCGGGAGAGAATTTCCGTGGCTTCCTCATGAAAGTCGGTGCGGTTAAAAGGCGACGCCTGCGACCGTCCCTTCGATTTATCCTTTTTGCTGGACCTTCAATCTCGTCCTTTTTCTCGTCACGACGATGTGACGCGGCGCTCTCGCCGTTACGACGGTCCATTTCGCTTCCTTCGCTCGTCCCGGCTCTTTCATCGAATTATGAGAACCTTGCCATGGTACTCTTGCGCTCACGGAAATACCGTGACTGCCGGATGACATCGCGAGAAGGGTCGGGAATGGTAAAGGCCGGAAGAATTATTAAAATTTTTCGCCTAAGACGAGACGCTAGGAATAGCGTCTCTAAATCTTATCAGATAGTTGATTTAACAACTTGGAATCTTACTAAATTCAATCATCCGATTGGAGATTATTGTTACAGACTGCACATATACACTGAGAAAAAAAGTTGTTAAAATAACTAAATGCGTTTTGTTGGCAGTTTTTCTTTGATTCAATTATATATGTTTTTGAATTGAACATACATCAATAACAGGATACATCATTAACATGATATTTTTGTGAATTAACAAGTATTTTGTTGAATTAACAAATGTTTGCTTGACAGCCTGTGACCGCCGCATTTAGTTGAATAAAATAATATTTTTTTAAATCAACAATTTTTTTCTCAGTGTATCATGTATGTTAAAAAGTAGGTAACAATAATGTGAAAAAGATTATTCATTTCTTTATGGAGTTGGAAAGCGTAAACTTTGAGTGAATTCCTACATTCGAACTTTGACGTATCTTGACGCTGTATCTCGAACAACGGATTACGTGGATTCCAGCATGCAAACATGAAGGTGAAGGGAGACTCACTCACATAAGCAAAGTTGCAGGACCGCGGCGAAGAGGGCTGCGAGTTTCCGCGCTGCCATGAGAGTCGACCAGTTTTCTGATGATTTTCGGGACACCAGTCGGCGATCTGAAAAATAGACAGAAATATTTTTCAACAAACGTGCACCAATTGTCGATAGTCATCAACGCTGACAGATGAAAAGCTCAACATTTAAATGTATTGAAATACTTTTTTATATATAAAATATTTATCAATAAAATTGAATATAAACTACTGAAATAATAATTATTCACAGGTTCAGTTTCAGATTTATCTGTGTGCTTATAAGTAAATACGAGAGATTTGTTTCTTGTTTTAATCTGCGTCACACATCGTTTGTTTCCCCGCATGCTTTTTATTTCATTCTTTTATTACTAGAAAGAAAGAGAAAGAAAGAGAAAACACGTCAATTTTAATTATCGTTCGTTCTAACTCTTTCGATATCCCTTGCAGAGGTGAAAGGATTGGCAAGGGAGAAAAAAAGGTGGTTCGCCGGAACGGCCGAGAGAGGGTGGTTCAGCGGAAACGGAGGGAGCAAGAAGGAGCAAGAGATCGAAAGTAGCTTCGAAGCAAACTAACCGCAACACCACGGGTTCGCCGACTGTAATTAATGACCACCTCCGTAGTTATCCTATCACCAATTAAGGGAGTTACGCCGGGAGAGGCGTCCCCTCGTTATTCCGAGGCGGTTGAAGATCACGGAATCACGGAAGCATCGCACGCGCGTGATTCGGCTCTCACGAACGGGCACATATGAACAATGAAGCGTAAAGACCGATTAAGCATTAGCAACGAGCATCCGCTGCATGGTTTCTCCTCGAAATCTCGCCTAAAAAAAAGTGAAAAGGAAAATAAAGAAAATTGTTGGAAAAGGAATTCTCTTGAACAGAAAAGGAAAATAGGAATAATATGTAAGAAAATACAAGAAGAAAATATCTAACAACGCTAAATAAATAAAGTTGGTTAAAGTTAAATAACAAAATCAAAAGTATAGTCCAGAAGAAAGAGAGAAATGTATCTATTTTATTAGCTGCAATTTCCCTATAAAGTACGCAATGTAAACAACACAGACGGAATAATAATAAGCTTTCAGGAAGTTACAAGTTGTATATACAAAGTAAAGTATATTTAATCTTTGTTATCTTCGAAACGGTTTTCGAAGGTGGACTAATACCACCGGCACATTTTCTTTTATCATATTACCACTTTTTTCAACTTTTTAAACACTATCTTGGAAATAAACGCCATGAAAAGAAAAACTTCAATGTAACTTTAAACTTTTCCAATCCCGTGATAAAGATCTTTTTAAAAAATTTGTCCGAAAATGGATACAATTGTAAGTAAAAAATTAGAAAATCACGACAATTACGATAATATTGTAATAAAATTCAAATATTTAATATTAAATTATATACATATATTGTGTGTGTGTATTCGTGCGAAGTTTTTGAATACTGATTTATAATAAAAGAATAGAAGAGACAGAAAAAGTGAGGAGAGAGAGGAGAGAGAGTTCAGAGTGTCTTTTGTGGAATTCTTGCGTCAGACAACGCACCATTCTTTTCACGTTCTGCGGCATGCTTTTTCCTCGTCGACGGAACATCCGCCGACTCATTCCACGATGTCGATAAAATCGTGGATGAGGAATTTTTATTCCCTTGCATGTCACGCGATGAAAGAAAGTGTCGACGCGCGGCCATCGATCCCGTACAGGCTGCACCTGCTTCGAACGCAGATCAATCTACGATCGACTATCAGCTCTGAGATGTTACAATTTCTAGAATGCATTATAATTATGCAAACGGAACAATGCACGTAAAAACGAGTAAATCGAGTCTCAACGCGGCGAGACGCCTGTCTTTCGTAATAAATGGCAGTTAGTATTGATTTTTGCGAGCAATAAAATTAATTACAAAAAGTGCGTGTCCATATTTCTTCTGTATCGCTCTATATGCTAATTTATTAAACTAAAAAAAAAAGTGTTTACAGTAAAATTTTAAAATCTTGAACATAGAAATATTATCTATTTATATATAGATAGCACCAATGAGAAATAAATACAAAATATTTGAGCATTAAAAAAAAACGTTTACATGGTTTGACATTTACAATGTACATTTTTCTCGCAAAGATATTTGTTCTCTTATTGAGTACGAATATCATGGGAAATCATAAAAAACTTTTTCTAAGACACTTATATGTAAGTTAAAGTATTTTCAAAAGTTAAAAAGTTTTAAAATGAATTTCGCACATGTATGTGCCAGTTGCTTACACGGGCGTGAAATTCCAAGGTTGACAAGGGAGAATCCAACTTTTAGGAGGCCTCCAAAATTCTATTGTGCATCCCATACAAGAGTAAAATTCGTTGTCCGCGTCGAGTTTGCATGAAAACGCGACGCGAACGAATAAGCGTCAGGATGCGCAACGCGTTGGTCGTCGCAACGCGCGCTCGACGTTTCGGTTCATCCGCTAAACGAACTCTCTCGCCCCCCCCCCCTCTCTCTCT